CACTAAGATTTGCGTATCGTCGGCATATTGTACTACCATAGCGTCCCCTGAATACAACGCCAGGTCGTTCGAAAAAATTGAAAACAAAAGTGGCCCCAGAGCAGTGCCCTGGAAAACGCCCATCTCATTGGGGAGGCTGCGAGAGCGAACAGTGTGTCCGGAAGGATGCTTAATCTGAACCTGTTGTGTATGTTTACTAAGATAGCTTTCAAACCATGTGGTGTCTACGTTATACATTTTGAGTTTGGATAAGAGCAGCTGATGATCAACAACATCGAAACATTTGGACAAATCGATCAGAACTAACAATGCGATATCACCGGCGTCCATGGCCATGAGGATCTTATCAATGATGACAGTGAGCGCGGTCTCAGTGGAAAAATGCATTCGATAGCCATGCTGTGCATGTGAGAATAAATCGTGTTGGCTAAAATATGAACTAAGTTGAGAGTGGACAATTCTTTCAACTATCTTTGCAATTGCAGGCACTACAGAGATGGGTCTAAATTTGGAAGGATCGTTCAAATCACCGGTCTTTGGCAGAGCCGTGACCAGAGCGTGTTTCCAGGCGTTAGGCACTGTCCCACTTATGAGGCTACCATTGATGACGTCAAGTAATGGGAAGCCAATGCCTCCAAAAGATCTCTGCAATAACCGAATACTGACATCATCTAATCCACTGGACGTCGTCGGATTCATGGCTACCATGGCTGTCATGAGTTCATCCAACGACACAGGATGCACCTTGAAAGAACATGTCATGACTCTGGGCAATCTCGTTGAAAGAGAGGTACTATGACTGGGCACGCTGGCTGCAGTCAATGGCCCTACATTCACAAAGTAGTTGTTTAACGTATCGGGATGAATGTTAGGGGTGACCGACGTGGCCGCTTTACAGCCAACTATCGACTTGACACAGCGCCACATGCCAGAATGTCCCGCTTTGTCAATCTCCCCTCTGATATGCTCGCGACAGTCTCGTCTGATGGCCGCCCGCGTCAGTCTGTTCAGGGCCTTGTACTCATCACGCTCGCCACGTGCTAAAGCGGCGCGGCGTTGTGCCATCAGTGAACGAGTGTCAGCTGAGACTGGTGGGGCGGATTGATTACGAATTTTGATTCGCCGGACGGGAGCGACAACATTTAACCCTATTCCTGGCGGGGGGGGGGGCCTCAGGAGCCCCCCCCTGAGGTTTTTTGGTTATATCTCCCAAACGCGTTGAGCTAGGAAGCTCAAATTTTCTGACTTTTCCTAAAAGGCTTCTACGCAACATGTCTGAAAATTTTGAGTTGATCTGACCTCAGGTCAGGTCACCAGAGGCGGTTTGGTGACGCTACCTCAGAAAAGTTTGCAATCACGCCAGAGCTAGAGTTTTTGACCGATCAATTTCTTCTCTTCAGGGTTTAGTTAGGGTACCAGTATGTGCAATTTGTATATCTCGGAATTTTGATATCGGTGACCTAAGGTCAGGTCAATTTCGCGACCTCCCCATTATAAGTCAATGGGGGGAAAATCAACTCCCTGTTTTTACCACTAAAACGGGTCGGAATGGCCCCATATACCATACATGACTTCATATACGATCAACCTTCACTACCTTGAGGTCTGTTTTGCTGTTGGGCAGCTGTGAGGTCATGTGACGTCATCAAAGGTCACCAAAGGTTTTTGGCCAATAACTCCGTACAGGAACAAGATACAGACGCGTGGATGGTCTCATTGTGTTCAGCTCGTCAAGACGCATCGAATGATATACATGATGACCTCGAGGTCACGTGACCTGAGGTCAACCTTTGACCTTGACCTTTCGAGGTCAACATATATATCATTTGATGCGGATTGACGAGAGGATCACGATGATGCCCTTAGTTTGTTCCTATCTTGACTAATTCGAAAGTTATTCGAGAAAAACTCTCTCCATATCTAGTGCCGCCATTTTGACTTTTTTGACCCCTGTGACGTCATCTTTGACCTGACCTGAAAATGACCTTAGTAAAAATTGTAGATCTTGGCCGTGCGTATCCGATGCCGTTTACCGCTTGTCGCTATCTTGCTTCGTTCTCGAGATCTCAGGGGGGGGCCGAATCGGCCCCCCCCCCCGCCAGTTTCTTGTCCCGGCGGAGCCCGCCAGGAATAGGGTTAACCTTCGCCCTGGTGGGGGGGGGCCATTTTGGCCCCCCCCTGTGGTTTTTCAGCGATAACTCAGAAACCACTTGAGTTAGCGCCCTGAAACTTTGTATAGCTGTTTATTCAACATTTTTACATCATGTCCTTTTTTGGGGGGTTCGGGTCAGGTCAGGTCAGGTCACAAGGTCACCAAAACTGACACCACCTCTAAAAAAGTTCAAAGCTCTCTCAAAGGCACAGCTTTTATCCGATCGATGTAAAATTTACAGTACTTGAAGATGTCACCCAGCTCTACAAAATGGCTATCTCGGATTTTTTATAAATGTGACCTAAGGTCAGGTCAGGTCATCGCTGCTCCCCATTATAAGTCAATGGGAGAATCGAAAAGTAGTTGTTTTTCAGCTAAATCGGGCGTGATTGTTCCTATATTTCGTTATTGAAGTGTCTTGGGTCAGCAAATCACAGCCCATGTGAAACCATTTGCTTGTGACCTCGCTGAGGTCACGCTAGGTCATCTCCCTGGTCACCAGAGGTCACCAGCGGTTTTTCTGCACTTACTTGTTATTGAATAGAGATAGAGACTCCATTCGACGTTTATCGTGTTTGTCTCGTCAATGCGGATCGAATGATATGCAGCATGACCTATTTCGGTAAGGTCATGACCTTGACCTGAGGTCAAATTTTCAAAATGACCTTTCGAGGTCAAACTATATATCATTCGACGCGTCTCGACGAGCCAAGCACGATGGTGCATGAATCGTTTCTCTATTTTCTCGTGAATGCATGCTATAGTTAAAAACATTTTCAACGAAATTTGCCAAGTTGACCTTGCATGACCTCTGTAGGCCAAACCGTTGAGCTGAGGTCAAATCTGACGAACCTTGGCGAAAGAGCTTGAAAAGAGCTATCGATTGCTTTTTTCCGCGGCTCTCTAGCTCTTCTAGTTTCCGAGCTACAGCGGAATATGTCCGGCAACACCGAAAACACTGAAATTTGACCTATGATGACCTCTAGCGACCTCAATATTGACCTTAGCGAAAAAATGACCGAAATACTTTCGAACGTACTTGTTATGGGCTTTCGTTTGCTTTTTTCCGCGTCTTCCTAGCCCTCTTCGTTTTCGAGTTAGACGGGGGGGTCATTTTGGCCCCCCCCCACCAGGGCGAAGGTGGCTCAGACCCACACCAGGGCGCGGGTTAAGATGGGCGTATATATCCTCAAGAACGAGTCCCACTTGTCGGATGAAGTTGCACTTAGATAAACCGTGGACCAGTCAGCACCGGCTAGCAGGTGGACAAAGCTGTCAAAGTCGAGTTTATTCAGGCACCGGGATGTCACTACTTTAATTTGATTTTTATCTTTCGATACTCTTAGCAGAGCTCTCGTGAAATCGTGCGGGCTAAAGTGACAAACAGTGACACCGCAACGCTGGACAAGGTCTCTCTGATTTGTGATCATGATATCTAACAATGAGCCGGCAGGTCGGTATGTGGGATAAGTCCGGTTGCAAAAATGTAGATCGTAAGACTGTGACAACTGCATCAATTTCTGGTAGCCAGTGCTGACACTCGTACCCAGCATGTTTATGTTTAAGTCACCAGCTACTACAATGGGGCAGTCATGCACTGACATAATGCACTGCAACTGATTTTCCAAATCATCAAGATCATCAGACACCTGTCGGGCCGTATTAGTGGGATGTCTATATAACGAACCGAGAATAATCCGTTTGGCTTTGTCAGGTCGGATCAGGGTCCAAATGATCTCGAGATTAGAAGAGCCAATCGCAGCGTTGGGCGATTTCAAGACAGTAACATCAAAAGCTTTCCAAATTCTGGTTTAGGTGGACTTTTCAAGATTTTTTTCTGATTTACTGTGGACATTCTGTTTTGGTGGACCCAAAAAGTCCACGTAAAAATAAACGCACAGAACACCTTTTAGCTGGACGTAAACGTATCCGAAAGAACAAGTCTGTTTCGGTGGACTCAAAAATTGTCCACCTTAGGCGCCATCTATCTCTAAACTAAAAAATTTGATGGTTCGTAGTTCCAATATCTGCCACAGACGGCGCTACCATCGGCTGGCTCTGTGTTGAAGCTCGGAAACGCACGCCTTGATCAGCGCGAGCTAGCGCGGGCATGCAGCAAAAACGTAACATGATATGATTTATAGTGTGGTCTGTGGAATGTGAAGCGATCAAAATAGACGTTTGTTTTATTTTTAAAAAAGTGTAAAAATAAATTAATTATATTATGTATCTTAGAAACCCGTGAATTAGAGTATGATGAAGTTTTGTGTAGTTGCAACAACACTGTTTTTTGTTGCGGTGTTATCGGCGCGGCACGGCTCACCGCGTGGTGGTGTCAGTGTTGGGATTTGGAAGAGATAAAGCTTTGGGTGGTACTATTTTGTGTTTTTTTTTTGTGCTGGGAGCTTTTTGAAGTCTGTGAGGTAAGTGGAAATTATTTGTAGACATCTATTTGTTGGATACTGGTATTGCATAGTACCGATTTGCCCAAGATTTGCCATGCGATTGTTTGGGCCGGACTTAGCAGGCGTCACACTTCTTTTTGCAACCAAGGAGCGGGGCCGGATGGTCACTATACCCAGAGATGCTTTCTAATCAAACCAAACCAAAATAGACCTAACCAAACCTAACCAAACCTGACCTAACCAGTACAACCTACAACCTAAAACCTACAACCTACAACCTAAAACCTAAAACCTACCACCTAAAACCTAAAACCTACAACCTAACCTACAGCACCTCTCCTTGGTTGCTAAAAGAAGTGTTACGCCTGCTTTACGACTACCCTTGAAATGTGGCTAGGCTATACTTGCTATTTCTTAAATACTTGCTATGATAAGTATTGCTTAAATTTGTTGTGTTGCTTAAATACTTGCTTAAATACTTGCTAAATACTTGCTATTTCTTTACAAGATCTCAGGCCTCGGGGTCAATTAATGATGTAGGTAGTGTACTCTGGCTCCTGATCAATTCAACAAAATGCAGGGCTGCCCTACATTGTGCACTAACCTGTTTGAAGTATGTACTTGTGTTCAGGATCCCAATCTGAATCCAGTTTAGGGGAAAACACCATGTTTATAAGTGTAGGTTATAGGCAGTGGCGCCGGGCACGGGAACCGGGGGTTAGCGGGGGCTGAGCCCTTCAAACTTTTTGGCTGGGGGGGGGGGGGGCTCTTAATTTATTTGAGCCCCTCCAACTGGACGAATTGAAGGTGGATTTTTAACTTACATGCTTTGTGACCCACAACCCCTAATTTGGGGAGGACAAGCTGCCCTAACAGTTCCTGGTCTCATGAAAAGTTGTGGGGCACTGCTCCCACAGCCCCAGAGTTGTGGGGGCAAGCTTCCCTCACTGCCTTCTCCCCCGGTTCCTGTGCCTCTGTATGAATCTATGAAATTATGTTGGTAGATTTCCGATTTTGATTCCTCCAGCTGTGAGGAGGGGGGGGGGGGGGCTCAAATACATAATGAGCCCCCAGCCGAAAAGTTGGAGGGGCTCAGCCCCCGCTAGCCCCCCCGGTTCCTGCGCCTAACTAGGTCATTCAAAGACATTTTATTGTCCTTAAGAATGAAATTAAGACCCACTTTAGCCTTATGACCTTAACTTATGGGTGGGTCCCCCAATGACCTTAAGGTCAAGTAACGTTTTCGCCTATAACTTTGCACCTAATTAAGCTACAGCTTTCAGCGTAGGCTCATTGTGTTCAGCTCGACGAGACGAATCGAATGCTATGCAATATTAGGCATTTTGGCCATCTTAAGTATGTAAGTGTTTAAGTAGTGCTTAACTTCTTAAGTACACTTAGCTAGTAAAATTGTATATCATTCGATGCGCAAGAGCAAGCTGAGCACGATGGCGTTTGCCGTTTATCTTTCTCTTAAATAGATCAAAAGTTATAAGCAAAAAACTGCATGAGTAAAATCGCGACCTTGTGACCTTTTGTGACCTACAGGACTTAAGAGGTTCAGGTTAAGCAAAAGTTAAGTATAGGGTTCGATTGGGCTTGTTCCAAGCTTTTGAATGGCTTCCTAAAATTTGTTCTAGCTGTTATAAGTTCTGAGATATAGCGATATTTCTTCCAAAAACGCCGATTTGGGAAAATATTGGCCTTTTAACCCCCCAAAACCCCCTTAAACACGACCCTTGGGGAACGAAGTTTGCGGGAGGGCGAGACCTCTGTTCGTAAGGTATCGAGGTAAGGTATAAGGTAAGGTATAAGGTATATAAGGTATCGTAAGGTACCTCTGTTCGTAAGGGCGAGTTCGTAAGGTATCGAGATATTTATCCTTTGTACTTTCTGTTGTGTACTTTCGGTTGTGTTTGCTCTGTCACACTGCCACCAGCGGTCCTCGTGTGCCCTATCACTGTGTTGGGTCATAGTGTTTTGTCTGTGTGGCCGCCAGGAGCGTCAAATGCAGTCGGCGCTACGGCTGGCCGTGTCAGCGACCCACCGGCTCGGCCACGGCCAACAGGCAGCCGGCTCCGACGTCAAGTAGGCGCTACGGTTCCTGACGCCAGCAGGAGCACTTGACCAGCAGCTCACCGCCACCGCACAGGACCTGGCACAGCTCGGCACAGGTACACGATCTTATTGAGCTGATGCTTGATAACGCTTGTCAGAGTTTGTTTTCACCTTCGTGACCTTAACTTAAGGTAAATACTTAAGGTTAATACTATACTGATGCGTGCACCGATTGTTTATGTGTCCCTATTAAATTAGATCATAAAATGAGAAACTTTTACTGTTCGTGTGAATCGTGATCGTTCACTCTGATCCAGCACGGCAGACCAAAGTGTTCGTGTAATCGTCAAGTTCACTAATAATTGCGTATCTGATCGAATCGTTTCATTAACCGGAGGACCAAAAGACTTCTTTGATGAATGTCTATTTCTTGAATATTCACCACACAATGCACGTTAATCGTATCGTACGACGCCGGCGCCGTTGCGCCGGCGGAGCCGCGTCGCCGTCGTCGTCGCGTCGCGAACTGCCGAGCCGGCATGCGTCGGGCCGGTCATCGCACACATGTGCCCCAGATGACCACGCGGGCCCCAGTACACCACGTGGGCGGCGAGGTTCGGCTGAGCCCGCCGATCGCTGCCGTCTCCTCCACGGCACAGTACGTTTTCTCTCGAACATGGCCGGCCCGAATTTTCGCCTCGCTCGCGGAAATTCTAAACGTAAGAGAGAAAACATTAGCGAAACAACAAACAGCTGCTCGCAGGCAGTGTCTCTGTCTGTATCGTACAGCAATAAACGACCACTAAAGCTAAGACTGTAAACTACGTCGGCTGCGCCGCGCGTCGGTCCCGATCTAAGGCTGCTACACTCTAAGGCTGTAAACTTCTAACTCGTACAAGACCAACCGGCTAAATGAGCTAGGAGCGACACTGCGACAGTGTGAACGCTGGCGACTGTCGGACGGCTCACAGCTGTTGGCTAATGGCTAAACACCAAACACAAATGACCGGCGCACAGAATGAACGACTCTTTCTCGCACACGCACACGTTAACACCGCGAATGGCGGACGCAGTAAACACTAATAGATGGCCAGACTCCGACACTACTCGCCGGCGGCACAGAGGGGTCGTAAACGACTCACCTCAGTCGTCTCACACGCGCACATTACCACTCTGAGTCCATTTACTGTCCGTCACCGTCGCGCTCGAGACGGCAGAGACCAGAGACCGACCGCCTATTCCGAATTTCCGACCAGTGGCGGTGGCCACTTTGACCACCTGCACTCGGCTGTCGGCGCCAGGGAACACGGTCACCACTCGCTCCAATAGCCAGTGCCCGCGAGGCAGGTTGTCCTTTGTCACCAGCGCTAATTCGTCGAGCTGCACGTCTGCCGGGTCTGCGCGTCACTTCACCCGTGTGGTGAGCGTCCGGAGGTGCGGCCCGGGGCCGGCTTGCCCACTTGGAAGGCTGTAGGTCACTCGTCGGCGTCGGCGCTGGCTGGGCTGACCGTTTCCGGCACGGCATGCAGGCAGGTGTGTACCGCTCCGCAGCGGCCCTGCCACTGATGACCCAGAATTGGTGCCGCAGGTGAGTCAAAACGTGCTCTGCGCCAGAATGGGAGAGCTTCTTGTGTCGATCGGTGACTATCAGCCGAGTGATGTCTCCGCGTGCAGGTAGAATCACCTGGTGCTTAACCTTGAAGTCTAGCTGAGCGTGGCGCAGCTGGCCCCCGACTCTTAGAAGGCCGCTCGAGTCCAGGAAGGGGTTAAGCCGGTGCAGCTGGCTGTTCGGGGGAAGCCGCCTTCCGTGCTGGAGAGCGGCGATATCATCGCCGAAATGCTCGGCCTGTGTGCTGAGCAGCCAGACGCGCTCAGCTTCTCTCAGCTCTTCAGCAGTCGGCGGTCCCGTCCGCCGATCAGCTGCTGCCCGGCTGCGGCTGTTGTAAGCGAACCTGCGCACCCACGCTGTCACACGCAGCAGCCTGAGCCACGATGAGAACCGGCTGGGGTTTATGGCCGGCTCCGCTCCCCTGATGACGCAGGCTGGTGCTCTCATTTCGGCCGTTTCCTCGTCTCTCGGGCGCTCTGTCGGGCGGGGCGGCGTGGCGGGCCGGTCCTGAGGACGGCGCGACAGGACGGCGCGACCTTGGCCCCACTCTTCGCCCGGTGCCACCTCAGCCACCGAGCAGCCTCGGCTGCCTATGTTCGATGAGTTCAGTGACCCTGGCACGTTTTGCCATCGAGTCACTTCCGAAGCGTCCTGGGTTTCCTCGCTGACACGGATATGATGCACGTCCTTGTTGACTGGCAGGTTTCGATCCGGCGCGCGGCCGGTGACCGTCCAGCCGAGCAGTGTTCTCACGGCGCACGGCGCACCCGGTGGTCCGTCGATCACCTCACGTGCCACGATCAGTTCTATGACGTCAGCGCCCAGAAGTACTTCTACTGGACCTCGAGTCGCACTCGGCAGATCCAGGTCAGCGAGATGAGGCCATTTGCCCTTCTCCCGTGACCAGTCCATGGCGTGATTTGACACACTCAGCGTCGGCGTCGTTTGGGCGTTCCGTATTTCGTGACGTGTGCCACCGCTGCTGACAGGCTCGATCACGAAGGACACACGGCGTGATCTGAGTCTTTCACTTCCGTTTATGGTACTCAGGACCGAACTGTCAATGGGTCCAGAGATGCCGAGACGGACGCTCGGGCCTTCGGTCACCAGCGTTACCTGGCTCCCGAGGTCGAGAAGCGCGTGGGTCGTGCAGCGCCCAGCAGGACCATGCACCGTTATCGGCAGTGTCTGCAGCAGCACCTTACAGGGTGGCTCGACCACCGCAGTGCCGACATGTTTCACTGGTGACGGCGCGCTGCCGGCAGCACTGCGCCGTGGAAACACACGGCCTCCGTTGTGCAGAAGCGTGTGGTGACGTTTCCCACAGTTCTCGTGTCCACAGTTTGTACCGGACGGGCACGCGGCGCTGATGTGACCTCGCGCGAGACAATTGAAGCAGAGTCCGTTACAACCGGCAACCTCTGCTCTCTCGCTCGCTGTCAGCTGTAGGAACCTGTCACAGCGCTCTACGACATGTGTCCCCTGACAGAATACACATGCGTCCTCACTCGCGACCGGCGCTGCCTTTATTACGGAGCGAGCGAAGCGAGCGGAGTCTCATACTGAATTAAGGGAAAATCCTGAGTATGAGCGGCCGGCCGGCCGGCCGGCCATGGGGACGCTCTTCAAAAGCTAATATCTTAGGAACGGGACATCCGATTGACAAGCGGACTCTTTACTGAATGTCACTTGGACGTAAAAGTTCTGTGGTGTGATGGCCACCATGCGTTCTTGCCAACCACCGCACGTGGCGCGTGGTAAAGTTGGACATTTTTTTAAGAACCCCCAAAATTGCAACCTCAATAACGGCACAACGGTTGGGCCGATTGAATTGAAACTCGGTACACAGTTAGGTCTCCATCAGATAATTCATCTGCATGTGTTAAGGTTGGGGTGCTACAGCACGTGCGCACGTGCAGGGGGCGCTCCCAGATCTCGAGAACGGCTGGGCCGATTGCGCTCAAATTTGGTACACGGCTGGGGACCAGTTAGTAGGGTGCCGTGCAAAAGTCAGTTTGGACCCCGCTTGCACGTGCGCACGTGCAGTGTGCCGCCTCCAGATCTCGAGAACGGCTAGGCCGATTGCGCTGAAATTTGGCACATCACTAAAGACCGGTTAGTAGGGTGCAGTGCACAAGTTAGTTGGAGGTAACCCCTCGCAATTTCGCACGTGCAAGGCCCATCCTCTCGCTCGCTCCGTTGGTCGCCCAAAAGGCGTTTTACTGGTTGCACTAATTTTCGGTTTTACGACCTCTCGGGGCGCGGCCGGCGCTAGCGCAGTCGCGTAAACACGCCGCTGCCGGCTCTCCCCACTGTTGACCTCGGCCTTGGATTGCTGGTGGCCCGTCAGGGTCAGGGACGCACGCCCAGCAGCCACGTAGCCGCGCAGCCAGCTGTCCAGGTCGGGGAGCGTGTGGCGGACGAGTCCGTTGTGCACAGAGTGCTCGCCCCATTTCAAAGCCAGCGCAGCAGGAAGCTTGGAGATCACGGCTGTTACATTGGTGGCAGCCGAGATGTCCGCGTCGTAGTGAAGGCACTGTAGCACACGAACCGCGGTGCGAAGGTCACGTGACAGCTCTGTCACAGCCGACATATCACCATCTTTCACCGGCCGCGAATCGAGCAGTTTTTTCATCGTCGCGTGAATGACCCGTGCAGGGTCACCGAACTCCTCCTCTAGCTCACGCATAGCCTCACCGTACAGAGAAGAGTCGCACAACATACCGCGCACTGATTCCTTGGCCGGCCCGGTGAGATGAGCCTGGAGATAGGTCAGGCGCTCGACGTCAGTCAGGTCGTCTCGATCGTGCACTAGAGCCCTGAACAGCGCGATCCATCTCGGCCATTCCAGAGCGGAGCCGCTGAACTTATCCAGGGTCACTCGAGGCAGCTGTGGAGTCGTTTGCTGTCTCACGGGCTGTAGCGGACGTCGTGCTTCCTGCTGGTGACGGTCGTCGTATGGCTGCGCGCTCACCAGTTGTCCGTACTGGGAGGACTGCTCCACCCAGTCCCGGGTGCGTGAGGACCTGTCACCCGGCTGCAGCGGCTCACCCAGCTGGGCGGCTGGCTCACTTGGAGCTGCGGCAGCAGGCCGAGCTAGAGCCTGACGGTCGACTTCAGATGGCTGGTGGTCATACTCCTCCTCGAGCAGCTCCAGCTCCAGCTGACGGCGTTCCGCTTCGTCGGCGAGCTGTTGAGCTTCGAGAGCTGCCCGCTGTCGTGCCAGTTCCGCCTCTTACCGCGCCCGCTCCGCCTGCGTCTCCGCCTCCTGCCGTGCCCGCTCCGCCTGCGTCTCCGCCTCGCGACGCGCCCGCTCCGCCTGCGTCTCCGCCTCTTGCCGTGCCAGCTCCACCTTTGCCGTGGCCGCTCGCTGGCCCTGCTCCGCTGCGAGTTTGCTCAGCGCGGCTCGGCGGCGGGCTGCGCTGATGGTGGACGACGCTGCGCTGCCGAAGGTCTCGCTGCGGGTATGGCATGTCCGCGAGCTGCGCGTAGATTTCGCGTCACACTGTGCGACCGCCCTTGCGTCCGACCTGGCGTTCGATTTCGCGTCGGATTTTGCGTCTGACATCACTCCTTCACTGCACTCGCGTCCGGACTGTACGTCCATTCACTCACTAGTTCACATACATCCGGCCCGGAGGACCAAAATGTTCGTGTGAATCGTGATCGTTCACTCTGATCCAGCACGGCAGACCAAAGTGTTCGTGTAATCGTCGAGTTCACTAATAATTGCGTATCTGATCGAATCGTTTCATTAACCGGAGGACCAAAAGAGTTCTTTGATGAATGTCTATTTCTTGAATATTCACCACACAATGCACGTTAATCGTATCGTACGACGCCGGCGCCGTTGCGCCGGCGGAGCCGCGTCGCCGTCGTCGTCGCGTCGCGAACTGCCGAGCCGGCCGGCGGCGGCCGGCCCGGCGCGTCGGGCCGGTCATCGCACACATGTGCCCCAGATGACCACGCGGGCCCCAGTACACCACGTGGGCGGCGAGGCTCGGCTGAGCCCGCCGATCGCTGCCGTCTCCTCCGCGGCACAGTACGTTTTCTCTCGAACATTTACCAAAAATACAGTCAAAGAACTTCACGAAAAGTAAATTCAGCTTGCCTAAAACGCAATGTTTTTAGATGACCTAGGTTGTACAGACACACAAACCCACAGACATACAAACACATATCAGTGACCTTGACCTAACTTGACCTGAAATGGCCTCAGCCAGCCAAAACCTAGTCGGATAGTGTAACAAAGAGGTTCTTGCTGGCTTGGCACCACAATACGTCAGCGTCATCGGTATATGATAAGCAGCGCACTTGATATCCAACGGTGACCCCAAACAGCAACATTTTTTAGTTTGACCTGACCTGGAAGGTCACTGACTGACCTGAGAAGGTAAAACTGTGTATCATTGGATTCGTCTCTTCCCAAAAAAAATCTTTTTAGTCTTTACCGCGAAGCTCTATCTCCAGCAGGAACGAAATGGCGCGGGGGTGGCAACCCCCCCCCCCCATGTGCGTTCTAGGATGGGAAAGTGGCATGTGCGGGCGAGGGTTAAATTGCGTAGTTGAATTCACATGCTGAACGAACTTCATCATTGGAACTTGTAGATCGTATAACAAAATGTGACCCGGGTTGCAATGTACAGTACATTCTAGGTATGTCAAGGCGTTAGTGTGACTGGTTAGTCAATCTGGTTGTGAATTTATCGTTGGTGGGTCCAGTGAATAATTATAAGCTTGTTTACTTTGTGTCTCTTGTTCTGGTGTAATTGCCTGGGCCCTGTTCATGAAGTCTGCGGCCGCTGCGGCCGGCCGCAGGCTCTAAGCTCCGCCCATTTTTGAAACGTCATCACTCACTCGGCCGCAGCAGCGTTCCATGAACAGCGTCTGCTGCCGAAATAGTTTCCGACAATTGTTTACAACTGAAGCACACCGGTAGATAATTTGTTTACAAAATCGTCTCCATGACAACACGGCTTGCGCCTATTTGACTTCAGTGCGCCAAGTTCAGTGCAATTAGTTTTCTTGAGGCTCGGCGGTCGCTGGATTGCGGCCGCAGAGATCGCAGCGGCCGCAGCAAGATGACGTCATACATTCGTCATACTACATGAGCCCCGCCCCTTTTTGTGACGTAACAACCCGGCTGGCCGCAGCGACCGCAGCGGCCGCAGCGACCGCCGGGGTTCATGAACAGGGCCCTGCATTATCTCTAAGTCATTCGTTCCATAGATATTTTATCTACATGAAGATGCCCATCCAATGTCGAAACACTTTATTTTCTGCCGTCTGACTGCTTTACACTCGTGATCGATGGTATCAGCATTCTCCTTGGTAGAAAACGAGTAAAATGAGATGTTCAAAGGTCATCGACCATCACTGTCGTCAAAATATTTCAGTAAAGTCGTACCCTATTTTGTTTTCGGAAACCTCCTTGGGGGAAATAAATCCAAAGTAAAGCTAAATTTGTCACTTAAAAGTCGTGAAATCAAGCTCGCACGATGTTTCAGCTCACATTCCCTAACTTGAATTCCTCCAATGAAACGGCAGGATAATAAGCGTCAGGGCATCTCTATGTATATAAGACCTCTATGATCCGTTCTACATGAATGGAAAGATGTGTTCTGGAACAAACGTTGATATTATATCTCTTGATTCACAGGCATGCACATTGACCCAGCAGTGGTGCAAGAATGCGAATGGCACGTCAGTCACCAGATCTGCAGTGATGTCGCCCGGCTCTGACGATGGCGCACAGCCGCCGTGTCCGCGGTCTCCGTCGCCGCCGCGGTATGCGGCGCTGGGCGGCGACTCGTACATGTCGCGGTCTCGCCATTGGGGGCCGAACGATTCGCGGCTCCCGCCGACCCCGCCGGCGACGAGTTTCCTCCGGCGAGTCCTGCGCCGTCTGGCGTGGTCGACGCTGCCCGGGAGGTTCCTGGCTGGCAAGCTGCTGCTGTGTCTACCGACGCACAGAGGTCAGTAGCTCCGGTGCTGGCCCTGCAGTGCTCTGAGAGAGCGTCGAGACCGCCTAGCCGATTCTGTCCCTAATTAAGGTCTTTGTAAATATGTGTTCATCGTGCATCGTTTGTGATGTGAGCCGCGTGATCAGCTGCTAACTGATAATTTTTGCTGCGATTTTGCTGTGGTCGTTGCTGGCGAATTGTTTAGTAATGTCGTGGCAAGCTGGTTGGGGACGCCCGTCTGGCTGTTCTGTTGACGGAACGCGCCGATCGACATGGCATGCAGCCATCCAGCGCCTCAAATCGGCGAATCTGTCCAGCGTGGTCTCAATGGAGTGCTGAGCGGTGCTAAAGGACATGGTTATTTTCATGCGTTCTGTTCACAGTTTTGTCGTGGCTGTGCTGTCCGCGGCCGTGCTCCACGGTTGCGACGTCTGCGGCCAAGCTGCCCGCTGCTGAGCTCCGCGGCCGAGCTGCCAGCGGCCGCGCTCTGCGGCCGTGCTCTGCGGTCGTGCTCTGCGGCCGTGCTTCCCGTGGCTGGGCCCTCCGTGGTCCCGTGATCGTGGCCGCGGCGAGGGTGCCGCGACCTGCGCGGTGCCGTGCGGTGCAGTGATGGCGCCGCGCACTGTGCAGTGATTGTGCCGAGCGCTGCGTACGCGGTGGGTGCCGCGCGCCGCGCTGTTGAGCGTACCGTATTCGGACGGTGGCTGCCGCGCGCAGCGTGGTGATTGCTGCGCTCTGCCATGAGTGCCGCTCACTGCCGTGGCCTGAGTGCCGCGCTCGGACGGAGTGCCACGCGCCGTTGTGTTGCGTCGCCTTCTGCCTTTTGATATGTGCTATCTCCGAATTTAATGTTGCTTGTTGCCGATGTTCGCTTCTTTTCGTTAAGAGGGTCGGGTATAGTCGGTCGATTTATTCGCACCGTTTGATTTCGTACCGGCTTCTCTTCTGTTTCTTATTGTTTTCTGCGATGTCACTTGTCCGATTTTATATCTGATTAATTCACGTATTTAAGTATTTATTTTATATTGTCATAATAACTTACGGCGCTGTTCCTTTATTTTCTGTTTAGTTGCAGCCCTAGTACCTTAATTTCCGATGTCTCTTCGGTTTGTTGTCGCTCGCATGTTCAGAGAGTCCTGGTTGGCCGGCGCGAGCGGCGGTTGTGGAATACAAGCTCGTCTGTGAAGGTTGCGTGTCGGAGCCGGGTTGGCGAGGCGGGACCCGTCTACATTTCAAACACCATTGCATTTCTCTCATCAAGACGCGTCGAATGATTTATTTATTTATTTATTCGATGTCATGGAACAACAGGCGAATTGACGCCCAGTAACAGTCCATAGCAGTTATACGTTCGGAGCAGTGTAAACATTGCCTTTAGTCTTTCGTCTCTTACACATACAATCCCTCGATATACCAACCATATCTATCACACAGTCCATACAGTACATGCATAACACAATAAATACAGTCACGCGGTACACACCAGGACTCACATGTTTTGTATATGTCGTCTTACTTTAGCCCGAACATCCCGCATTGAGTCGTGAAACAAATCCAAATCTGTTATCTCGAACATAAATTCATTTATGATAGTGGGTGCCCTAACAAAAAGCGAACCTTTCATAGTGTCGACCCGCGCAAATGGTACATTCATGACACCACGAGCTCCTTCAATCCTCCTTGTAATTCTTGGAGCAGCATACAGCGGAAACCGTGCCAATAGTACATGTGAGTCGAGGACACCTTTGTACAGTTTTTCCACAAACATGATATCGTATTGATGGCGTCTTTTCTCTAATTCAGTTACGTTAAACATTTGGAGCAAACGAGAATAATCAATATCGGATGGTATCGCGCTTCGATTTACATAAAAGTATAGCCATCTGAGAAAGTGATACTGTATCTTTTCTACTCTATCTAAGTGCGATTTTGCCGCACCACCCCATATGACACAACAATATTCTAATATCGCACGAACATTTCCATAGAAGGCGGTCAAAATTGACTTCCAGTTTACTATGCCAATTTTTGATGAATAATATGACCTCAAACATAGGCGCGGGAACCGGGGAGGGGGCAGTAGGGGCAGCTTGCCCCCCCCCAACTCTGGGGCCGTGGGGCCGTGTATCTTATGGTCAGGGCGCGTGTTTGAATTTATTTTCGGGGGTTGGGTCACTTAACTTGACCTGGTGACCTGACCTTTGATGACCTGGAGCTAAAATTTTCAAAGCCTCTACGGAAAAGACGTATAATAAGCTGTGCCAAACCGTTTTTGAGATGTCAGCGAAAACCTGGGGGGGGGGGCGTGAAAACGCCGAGCGGATTAATGAACCAGTAAGACGCCTTTCGGGGCGATACGCGAGCGAGCAAAAGGATGAGCCCTGCAAGTGCGAAACTGAGTGGGGGTATTTCCAACTGACTTTTGCACGGCACCCTGCCAACCGGTCGCTATCGGTGTATCAAATCTGAGCACAATCGGTCCAGCCGTTCCTGAGATCTGGAAGCGGCACCCTCCACGTGCGCACGTGTAGTACACTTCAACGTTGGTCGTTGACGCATTGAAATACATTGCCAAGTTGCTCATACTCAGAATTTTCCGCCATTCTACGAAAGCTTGCTTCGCTCGCTCCGCTGGCTCGCTTGTAATAAAGCACGTAAAAAATATGCCAACTTAAAGTGCAATTTAAAAACAAAAATGTACGTCCACCTATGCACTACATTTCAAAGCAAAAAAAAAAATGTCCACTTATACCGTTATCTCAAGACAAAAAAATATGTCCACCTAAAAGTACAGTCCACCGAAACGCTTTTTTGCACCCAAATTCGACCGGCTACCACATCAAAACTAACCGCCATAGGACAGCGGCCAGTTGATATTTTCTTGCTACCTACCTGACGTGTGCTGCCATCTATAAGTCATCCTCCCAGCATGCGTAGTTTTCAAGTCCACCGAAAGACGAAATACGCTAAAGTCCACCCATCCCGGAATTTGGAATATGTGTGTATCCCGAGCCAGGACAGCAACGCCTCCATAGCCCTTCGGTAACCGACTGCTCGCGGGTCGGTCGTGTCTGTATAGTTTGTATCCATCAATGTTCAACAACCGCGCAGGAACAGATGGACGCAGCCAGACCTCACTCAGTGCAAGCACGTCAAACTGATGTGTGTCGGCCAGGGTCTGACGTAAGTCTGGCAGTTTAGGTTTTAAGCTCTGTATGTTGAGCTGACCAATATACAGTTTCCCGTCCAGGCTGTGCCCAGGCGCCCGCCACTTCACCCCTCCCCTACAGCCCCGGCGCCGAGACCGCCTGCCCCGGCGAGTGCGGCGGCTGTCACCGGTTGCCGGCTCGGGGCGGCCAGCAGAGGGCCGGCCAGCGGTCACACCAGCACTCAGTCCTGCCAAAGCGATCCTGGGCTCTCCCCTGGCCGACGCGGTGACCTGGCGCGGTCCGCACTCAACAGCTGACCCCGCATGGCCGGAGGGCACGCTGCGTGCCCGACGCCAGGGATTCGGGGCCGGTAAAGCTGCCCGCACGATGACCTGGACTGTCGCCAAGGTCACCAACAGACGCAGCAATTGACGATTCATTGCAGATGTAGCACACAGCCTGGCAATGGAACACCAGATCCACCAGCAGAGAGTATGCTAACGGTACTTAGCTTGGCCGCTCCAGAAGGAGCGGCGGTTATTATAGACGCGTTGTCAGGCAGAGGTTGACCAGGCAGCCGTAAGTGTAGATCCCGAGGAAGGACGGTCAGCGGAAACAAAACCCCTCGCCCAGCTCGGTACTTAGCTTGGCCGCTCCGAAAGGAGCGGCAAGTTTCGTAGTCGCGTTGTTCAGGCTCCGCAGACCGCCGATCACAGGTTCGTCTGCTTGAGTATGTCACCGCAAACTCAATAGGCTTCAGATAGTCTAATCAGCCAAAGACCTCCAACCACAAGCTACAAAACACTATCACGGTCTACTATCACCCTTAAAACTATAAAACTATGAGTTAAAAGGCCACTGTGGTCGCGAGGGTGAGGAGAGACCACGTTGTTGGGGTCCGTGAGGTGTGCAGACGTTGACGCTTGGCGTGCACCCTCCCCTCGCCTGCATGAAGGTCACAGCAGGCCGCTGGCGGGAGCTGCTGCCGCAGCCGTGCCGTTTCCGGAGCCGGCCGACACCTGGGTCACGGGAAGGTCAACCCGGCGCGGCGGTGCGGGTCGGAGCGGCCCAGCATGCCGGGTGATACACCTGGACACCGGGGGGTGTAACGGGACAGCGGCCGGAGTGTTACACCCGGGGTAGTTCGACACAGCCGTCTCCTCATTGATCACGGCACGACTGACAGGGTTGGTGGTTTACAGGCTGACAGGTTTACAGACTTGCAGGTTTACAGGTTGGGACTTACTTTGGTGTTTGTTTAACATGATTTTGGGCTTTTGAATAGGTAATGTCAATGAGGGATGAGGGAGTGAATCGACAGCGCTTATGATAATGCAGTACGGACCAGTATAACGCCTTTTGGGGCGACTAACGGAGCGAGCGAGAGGGTGAGCCTTGCACGTGCGAAATTTCGAGGGGGTACCTCCAACTGACTTGTGCACGGCACCTTACTAACCGGTCTCTAGCGATTTGCCAAATTTGAGCACAATCGGCCCAGCCGTTCTCGAGATCTGGAAGCGGCACTCTGCACGTGCGCACGTGCAAAATGGGTCCCAACTGACTTGTGCACGGCACCCTACTAACTGGTCCCTAACCGTGTACCAAATTTGAGCGCCATCGGTCCAGCCGTTCTCGAGATTTGGAAACGACCCCTGCACGTGCGCACGTGCAGCAGCACCCCAACTCTGGCACATGGATATGCATTGCCTATGAGGGTGCCTACCTACATACCAACTTTCAGCGCAATCGGCCAAGTAGTTACCGAGATATTGCAACTATTACAAAAATGACACCTCTTTGTTTTGCACGTGGCACGTGCATAAGGGGTCACCCACATGCATCGGGAATAGTCCAATACTTGGTAGAAGGAATGAAGCTACCCTACAACAATTACCGCATGTAAATCGGTCAAGTGGTTGCTGAGATATAAGCGTCGCAGAATCGTGACCACGGCCGGCCGGCCGGCCGGCCTGCCGCTCATACTCAGAAATTTCCGTTATTCTACGTAAGACTCCGCTCGCTTCGCTCGCTCCGTAATCATGGGCCGTTCGGTGACTGAGCGCCGCCTACCGGTGTGATTCAAATCTGACCGGGAGCTGCAGCGTTCACGGAACACTTGCAGGCTCGGCTCGCTGTATACATAAGTAGCCTTATACATGCGACATGTTGATGTCCCATGTCAGCGCGACCGCCGGCTTGTCGCGGCGCAGCGGCTCGCCATCAGATATGTACTGAGATTCACCATTGCCGGCCGAGCCTGCATTATCCATGAGTGGCGCTCGCCTCCCGAGTCCTGGGCCTCCCAGGTGTCAGGGGGCCGGGCCTGCATTATACATGAGTTGGCCTCCGAGGTGCCCCGGATGGAGCCTCGGCAGTGCGCTGTGAATTACCATCCGGACGGTCGACTGAGAGGCCAAGAGGATCTTCTGTTGCGGCAGATTCTACCTCCCCTGGCTCACTTCACAACATATACATAAGTACCTACTCTATGGAAAACAGGACAACAGCTACTTGAAAAAGTCTAAAAGATATCAATCTTCTATTTTTGTTATTCCATAGATCACCAGTTAGGTCAAGGTCAAGGTCACGTAAACTGAAGTCAAATTTTCAAATTGGTCTTTTAGAAAAGAATAGGCCTACGCCTGTTAACCCTCGCCCGTATTGACCGTCTTCCAACGTCAAACATATAGGGGGAGGGGCGTAGGACCACCTGTCGTTAGGACCACCCTGCTCGGGCTAATGCGTGCCACAAAATCGTTCCAAGTGTCCGCCTGGCTTAGCTCCGCCTGACACGTGTTCTCCGTGTCAGCGGTGTCAGTGTTCTGTTTGTGTCACTGTGTCAGCGGTGTCAGTGTTCGTTCGGTGTCACTGTGTCAGCGGTGTCAGTGTTCGGTCGGTGTCACTGTGTCAGCGGTGTCAGTGTTCTGTTTGTGTCACTGTGTCAGCGGTGTCAGTGTTCGGTAGGTGTCACTGTGTCAGCGGTGTCAGTGTTCGGTCGGTGTCACTGTGTCAGCGGTGTCAGTGTTCGGTCGGTGTCACCGTGTCAGCGGTGTCAGTGTTGGGTCGGTGTCACTGTGTCAGCGGTGTCAGTGTTCGGTCGGTGTCACTGTGTCAGCGGTGTCAGTGTTCGGTCGGTGTCACCGTGTCAGCGGTGTCAGTGTTGGGTCGGTGTCACTGTGTCAGCGGTATCAGTGTTCAGTCGGTGTCACTGTGTCACTGTGTCAGCGGTGTCGGGGTGTCACCACGGTCCGTGTCACCGTCCGTCGCCGCTGCCCGGGTCTCAGTACCAACCACACCACGGCCGCAGTCCCGTACGGCCGGCCGGCCGCCGGCTGATGGACCCCACTGCACACTGGCCGCACCTACAGCCGTGTATGGGGCCGCATTGCTGTCGGCGAGAGGTGCGGTCGATGGCAGCCGGACGAAGCCTCCGATGCGCACGGAATAACAATGAGCTCCACCGCTGCCCGGCAGGAAAGGGAACCCGCCCGAACCAGCGGTCTCCGACCTAATGAAAGCTCACTTGTTGACCTCCAACTGACCTGACCTCTACTCCCCGGTGAGTGCGCTGCCGCCGCTGCCGCCATGGAGTCAGGGGCACCCCTGGCCTCCCCAGCGGTATCTGATCGGAGGCCGGGACCAGCTCAGTCCGCCGCGTGTCGACATGGACGGCACTGGGCCGGTCGGTGCTGCGACCCGACGCCACTGACACGGCTCGGCTCCGGCTATGGACAGCAGACAGCGGTCCGGCGCGGCTCTCCAGCGGCCGGCGCCCGCACGGTATGCAGGCGACGCCAGATGAGCCGATTGTTTTTGCATTCGGTATAATGTGCAGGTGGTGAAGCATTGATCAATGTGCAAATGTTAGTTCCCGAGGGGCACAAGCGTTTCAATGGAAATTATACGGTTGTACCTAGCTCAGTGACGGTGATACAGGCAGTAAGTTTAAAATAGTCCACTGAGATGCCGTCTCCCAAGTAGTCCCGGATCAACAATCGGCCTGTCAGAGAGGGGCGATGCAACCCCTTCCAGGGTTTTCGCGAATACCTAGCGTAAAAACGGCGGAGCGCATACCCTCTGGGGTAGCATATCGACAATTTTTTTTTTTTTAAGTTCAGGTCTGAGTCGTTTCAGGTCTGAGTTAAGGTCACCAATTCACATAAGAAATTATCAATGTTTGGCTTGCTCACATTTTGGGCTCTGGCCGCAGACTTCTAAGTCAGATCAGACTTATTTTTGGTTTTCGCACTCGTGAATAGATGCTTTACATAGATGCCCTAAGAATACTAAACTTGTAGGTACTTTGATTTTCAGGTCAGTGCCAGGTCATCACAGTTCACGGAAATCTTTTATCGCGCATCGGTCACGTGGCACATGTTTTATGGTATATTTAGACCATAGATTTCAAATTCTGTGTCGGTTATGTCATTAGAGGTTATTTTGAGTTGAATTTAGCTGTGGTCAGGTAAAACAAGGTCGAATTTTAAAGTTAAAAAATGAACAAAAGTTGGCTATCGGATGTAGTTTGATCTCAAGAACACGTTGGTCCTATTTATATTCGTGTACGATGTCAAATGCGTGCTGAAAAAAATTGAAACAAAGTTATGATAGTATTTTTTTACAATGATGCGTATAACCTTGTTATTTTTGAAGATATTTGGCTAAAACTTGGTAGAATACCTATATCATGGGCATTAGGGTGACACTTATTTTTGAACTTTTGATTTTTCAGGAGCGAAGGCCTGGGTATGGTGTGAAACCATGAGAAAATACCTCCTGTGAATTTTCACATCGATCGAACATATTTAAGAGGTGCCCCAAAGCCATTTTTTTTGGAAACGTACACCAAAAATAGATAACGCATTTTTAATTAAGTTTTTGATAAAGTACACATCAATTTGGCTTTGGGGGTGTAAAACGTCGACAAAAAATTCCCACCCCTCCAACAACCAATGGCAGTTTGTTAAAAAGATACACCTGACACGCGCTGTCATGAAGGCACACCACCCTGACCGGCGTGTATTAGCCCCTGACTGGGGGTTTCATGGGAGCCTAAATCCCACTCATTGCTGCTCAGCTAACGTCGAATAGCGCACGTCTGGGAAGCGCCGATGTTCCCCGACAAAAAGTCAAAGGCACACCACGCTGACCCGCGTGTATTAGACCGTCGATGGGTGTCTCGACAAAAAGTAAAAAAAGGCACACATGGCACACAAAAAATCACACCATGCTGACCTGCGTACATTCGACCCTCGCTGGGGGGTCTCATTATGAACCAAAATCCCAATCACAGGTACTCATCTAGTGTCGACTTGCGGACGTCGGGGAAACGACGTCGATGTTCCTCGACGACCTGGAGAAGGAACTGTCTTTGTTCCTCATCCTTCGTGAGGATGGCGCAGTAGCTCTGAATCAGAGCCACGCCCCGTTCGGCAAAATCGTTGACAACCTTGAGGGACTCGGCTCGGCGGCGGGCGAGCTGGTAGTCCTGGCGTTCCGGCCACTCGGCCGGGTCCACCTCAAAGAATTCCGACGGGCCAAGGGCGTCCACGAGAAACTTGGAGCTTGACGAAGCGAGGCAGCGTCTTCCTCGTCAGTACAGTCAGGTCAGGCTCCAGTGAAATCCGCTTGGGCGGATCTTCTGCGCCGTCGCGGCCAAAGGCAGCCACGATCAGCCTCTTCTCCTCCAACGTGGTCCTCACGTCGAACAGAGCGAGCGACACCAGCTCCTCGGAGATGTACCAGAGATAACGCCCAAACGCCTTCGATGCTTCCCTTGCGATTTCCTCGTCCTCGTAGGACAAGAGTGAGCGGTAGAAAGATAGGTCCTGGGCCGGAGCACGGGCTGCCAGCGGGGCTTCGTACGACGCCGGTACATACAGCGTCGCCAAGAAGAGGACGACCGACGAAGCGGGCCAAGTTCTTCTCCACCGCCTTGGTGAGCTTGAACTGTCCGCGGAATAAGAAGATCTTCAATGCGTATATCAGTTTGCCCATCCATCCAGCGCGGTGGTAGGTTCCGGGCTTGGACATCCTGATTCCTCCAGGGGAACGCCACCCAAGACAACGATCGTCAAGTTGAGGAGTTATCGATAGTCATCCCGATGCTGCGTACTTTGAAGTTTCTCCTTGCAGAACATAATGACTTCGTCACTGGTGGACGGGATCGGCTCGATTGGCTCGAACATCGCCTGGTCGATGGATTCCCATTCGGCTTTGAAGCGTTTAAATAGTTAAATATCGGGCCCAGACGACGGTGCGAGACAGGCGCCGAACGTTTTGTCGGCCACGATCTCAAGAATATGGTGCCGGCAGGCCAGGTGGAGGAGATTCCGCCCGAGTCGCTGTTGGACGTAAGTACAAGCTCCGGCGCGCACGCCGGTGTTGGAAGCGGTAGTGTCGAAAGACATTCCCACAACGCGTTCGGCGACGCCCCAATTCTCCAGGCAGCTGACAACCGCGGTGGCAACATCGTCACCCTTCCCGCTGGGCAAGCGTGGGACTCCCATGAGCTTGTTAACGCCATCCCCAGAAACGAGGATGGGAAGGCGCTCAGATGCCTTTGCTGGTGATATCCTCGACGATCTTTCCGTCCCAACGGACGGCGAGGGGTACGCCCGGAGCAAACGTCTTCCGGATCACCTTCGCCACATCCTCCCTGACGCGCCTCCGGTGTCGTTGGATCGACTCCCGGTTGACTACAAGGTTCTGGGGGATTGGGTTGTACGCCTCAGCAGCAGCGTGGAGGATGTGGACAGCACTCCGGTTAGATGTTCTTGTTCGATCGAGCGCAGCTGCAATCTGCGGGGTCACCGTCGAGACTCGAGCTATGCGACGTGTTGGGGGGAGGAAGCAGAAGAGGGCATCAGACGCCATATTGGCTTTGGGGCACCTCTTAAATATGTCCGATTGACCTGAAACTTCACAGGAGGTGTTTTCTCATGGTTTCACACCATGTGCAGGCTTTCGCGCGTTGAAATATTCATTTTGGGATTTCCCCCTACAAATAAGTGTCACCCTAATGGGCATGCCTGCAATAACGTATTTTTTTCGAAAAGTCAAAAACTTTTGGAATGAAAGATAAAAATAAAAATTTTATAAACTTATAATTTTCATTTTTTTTTTAATTTTTGAAATCCGAGATAGCAGTTTCATGGCACAGTGTATTCTGAGTCCCCTAATGAAAAGAAATTTGATAAACTGTAAAAAAAAACTGAGCTTTTGAGAGCGATTGCCGTAGTTCAATGTTTTGCGTTGAAATCGTACGAACATGACGTCATGCTGACGTGATTCCCGGCCGACCTATGGCAGCTACGAAGCTCACATTCAGATACAAGATGTCAAATTGATGAAGGTGAAGGTATTGCAAGTTTCGCGCTGATAAGTCTAGTGGTTTAGAAGTTATTGCAGTAAAACGAGACAGGGGCTATAAACAGCCCCCCTGCGGGGCGCGGGTTAACCCTCGCCCTGGCAGGACATTTTTCATAACGCGGCCGGGCAAGGAGGGTAGATGTGCCCCCCCCCCCCGGCGTCTCGAAACTAAGCGTCGTATAGCTTGGCAACAAAGACCAGTCGATTTCTCTCAACGAGTAATCGCGATTGGTGGTATATTTGTTTGACCCTAGGTCAATATTTGACCCAGTTATGGCAGGTAAAACGTCAAATTTCGGGGGAAAGCTGTAATTTTCCAAATTCCTTAGCCAATATTGGCGAATATATGAAAGATAGCGACATGAAACTTTAACGACCGTGTTTCTTAACGATTTGGCAACAAAATGATGTAGGTATAGGTAGTTGAATGCATTTCAGTCAGTACCTACTGTCGTGACGTATTCCCCGGGAACACGGGAGGTCACACCCGCCGCCGGCGAGGACGGTCGCGAATATCCGGAGCTTTCCAACTAACCAAGTCAACATTGGCGCATCTATGAAAGATAGAGGCTTGCAACTTTGAAGAGCGTATTCCTCAGTCAATTAGCTGCAAAATGACATATCGTTCACTGAATTTGCTCTTTGACTGACGCTACGTATCCCCGCCAGGTCACATCCGCCGGCCTGGTGAAAACCGAGAGTTTGCAACTAATGGAGCCGATACTGGTGTATCCCGCGCCCCGTAGGGGGGGGGGGCCGAAACGGCCCCCCCTGTCCTTTTCGGTCGATATCTCCTAAACGGCTGGAGATATCGCCACCAAACTTTCAGGACCCCTCCGGGCATCAATTTTACACATTGTGACAAAAAATTTTACCAGAGGCTATGATAGGTTGGCCGCAAATGACGTCAGAGTGACGTCATGTTCTGTCATTTTCGACCGAAAAAAGACCTTCGCGAGAAGACCTGTCAGGACTACAGCTTTGAAGATACAGAAAAATGATCAAGACATAAAAGGTGTAGAATTGACAGGGCTACAAAACTGCTGTCTCGAATTTTTGAAATTTTTGAGTTTTGACCCCCCAAAATCAAAAAAGCATTTTTTTGGATATCTCCGCCAAAAAATCCAAAAAGCTTTTTGAGTTTCGAAAAAACCGGAATATGTGTGATAGTGCCTACCGTCTTCTATCTACATACCAAATTTCATATCGATACCTCGTTTTTTGGCCAAGTTATAGCGAAAAAACTGTTCAAAAATGATGACGTCAAATTTTCAAACTCAATTTTTGGCAATTCTAGGACTCGTAGAGCAAAACGAAGACCACCATTAGACTCCCGTGACCAGCTGCATCGAATCGATACCCATTTTATGCAAAAATATCAACTTTGAAATTTGACCTAATTTGACCTGACCTTGACCTGACCTTCACCAAAACGTGACCTAGGCTGGCCCCAAAGGCTGCCTAACCCACATAATCGCATTTGTCATGTAAAATGGACCATAAAACATGTATCACACGACACATTCATATTGTGACCCCCGGTGACCTGACCTCGCTGTGACCTGACCTGGTATCAGTGACCTCAGATAGCAAAGTATGTGTTTGAAGAACAATGTACCATCGATGGTTTTCAATAAATTACCAATTTACTCGCTTTCACAGCACATTTCTTGAATTGCCTGTGAACGGTGAAAATCTGACCTTTGACCTGACCTGTGACGTCATCGGTTTGACCTAGGTCAATGAAATTTGGTCACAAGGTAGTTCCCGGGTGGGGCTATCGAACTCCGTTTGAATTTTGAAAATCGGCCGGTAACTTTCCGAGATCTTAGGGGGGGCCGAAACGGCCCCCCCCCCCCCTACAGGTGGTAGGGTCCGCCGGTAGCCCTACGGGGCGCGGGGTATCTATGATAGAAAGCGGCATGTATTTTTTTACGATCATGTTCCTCAGACTCATCGACTAACGGGCTCCGCCACTGGTGGGTCAACGGGGTCCGCCCCTCCCAATAATTTACCGATTCCCCCCCCCATTGAATTATAACGGGCAGGTCAAGAAATTGACCTGACCTTAGGTCATTGATATACAAATTCCGAGAAATCAGGGTGTTTCACTAAAAGTGTCAAAAAGTAAATGCTTATTAAAGATATAAAGGTAAAATACGCAAAGCACGTAGTTGCGCACGTAGCTATGTTGCAAATTTTTGGACATTTATGCTTTGGCCACTCAAGATATATTTTACACTCATGCGGAGCGAGGGCAGGTGGCCAAAGTTACTAGTCGTTTTTGTTCCTTATGCAGAACAAGAACAGGTTATTTACACCGCAACAGGAGGGGTGGATTACACTTACATTTGGTGCTATTAGAAACATTGAAACCGTACGCCGACTTTTCAAGAAACGTTTCACTCTCTCACCTCGCTACGACCCAAATTATAAAAGTTTCACAGGGCTTCTTGAGAGGTTTAAAAGGGTTCCGATGCCGGTTCCAGTCCAAAAAAGGCGGGTCGCCCCCACCTCTCGGCGGAAATCGTTGAAAAGGTCAGGGTCTTTTTTAGGGCCTTTTAAGATAAAAAGAAGCTTATTTCAAAATCAGAAATAGCCAAGCCCCCAAGTTATCAAAACAACCACTGTAACGGCTGTAGCCACCAAAAACTGGCTGGACCAGAAGTTCCCGGGCCGAATAATCAGCTGCCTCACCGCCCGTCCCTGGTCAGCGCGAGGCCCCGATCTGTTACGCTTTACTTCTGGTTTTGGTCAGTAGCTCTCGCAGAGCTGAGGAAGACTCAAGTCGCATCACTTTGGGAGCTGAAGAGCACAATGCAAGGCTTTGCCGACAGTCTGGACGCTGAAGATGAAAACGGGCTGTGAGGCACCTCCGAACACGTGCAGAAACGGTGCATCAAAAGAAGGAGTGGATATGTGGAATAGGTTTGAGTGACGGTGATATCATTTTTATATGTTTAAAGGGACTATCCCACCTTCTAAAATGTTGTTAAAACCAGTTAAATTGTGCCCGACTTTATAGATTGGATGACCAGGAACACGGTTCTGGCATTTATTTTTCATTAAACATCTTAGGCTTCCCATATTCCAAACACAAACTTTCAAATATGTGACGTCACAGCCCAAAATTACCTCCTTCCCCAGGCCACATTACTGTCATAAAGCTGATTCTTTTTACTCTGTAGGCACCACAACAAAGTTCAGTCCAAGTTTTAAGCGATTTTTCAACGAACAAACCCATTTAAATCAGAATGACTAAACGAGGTGACGCCACACTAACGGTCGCTCCATGTTGAAGATAGGGCCTTGTACAAGGCCCATTCTTCTTCAACACCAAGAGGCCGCGGGGGTTGCAACCTAGATATATAGTGGTTTCTGAACCTCGCCGCAAACTTGGCTATCTCAACTCAAACCCCATGTTAAAGGTGGGATAGTCCCTTTAACCCTCGCATGTGTAGGGGGGGGGGGTCGGATGGACCCCCCCCATGGTTTTTCGCAAATAACTCGCGTAAAAAGCGGCCGATCGCGACGAAACTTTCAGTACCCTCACATTGATCAATTTTACACCTACCCTGAAAATTTCATGACACTGACCCAAATGACCTTTGACCTGTGACCTCTTTTCCGAGACCATGTTTGGCCGGAATCGCGATTCTGCGTATGTCGGCTCGCATTAGCCGCGCGTTTGCAAGCTTTTCGTGGTTTCAAACGTTCAAACATGTGATTTGATGTTGCTTCCATGCATTAGGGTGGGTTTCAAGGTCACCTGAAGGTCAGGTCAGGTCATTGACCTTTGGTGACCTCGGGTGACCTCGGTTCACTTTTTCGAGCTGTACATGTTTCTAGGCTAGTTTTTGGAGCTGAATTCGAATTTAGCAACCATTTGAACATTTACGAAGTAGTTTTGGTGCCTTCGTAACATGTTACGAAGCTGTCAGAGGCGGTTGACACGTACTACGAATACCCGTCACGACGCCTACTGGTTGACCTGACCTGACCTGACCCGACCTGGTCTAAATGCTTAAAGACATCATCTGTGATCAAAACTAACACGATATTCGTGATCAGCACCCCGAAAAACCCCTCAGCAGCCACACTTTACGACTTTCTAACAGGTCCCGATTTTCCCGACTTTGGAAGGTCAACCAATAACCTAGGACCTTAAAATTGGGTATCATCGGCTT